ACAATATCAATATACACACATAATCTATGATGTTAAAATCACTAGACATAGGAAAAATAAATGTGTAAAAATATAAATATAATATATGTAGGCAGAAAGTTAACACTAAAGTTAACAGATGTTGAAAAAATCCATAAATATTCTGCAGCTAAATGACAAAAACATATATTCAATATCAAATATCTGTGCACAAAAGGTATCCGCTTACATCGTAGCTTCCCAGTTTAGACATGGGGGGATTATCTCCTGGTACAGCAGAAAAGCAGAAGGATAAATAATTATGGCAATGAGCCCTGACTAGTATTTCTCTCAGGTTTTTAGCACAAATTGATTTATTATTGAACAAATGACCTGTGGAAGGGTCACCAGATAAAATATGCCAATATTTACTGATACTTCTTTGTAACTGTTAAGATAAAGGAGAAAATGTGGTGGCAAACACCACATTTTTGAGCCCCTCCTTGAGAGACATTTAGGTGTCAATAAGTTGCTGCTCTCTATGTTTTTGACTCTGTCTTTCAGATAGAGTCAGGTCTCTTAAAGCTGTAACCTCTAATGGTTACAGATATCTCAGGCTTGTTCTTCAAAGGCTTTTTTGTATATTATGTTTGTGTCTTTTTCTTTTTTTATGTTGTGATTGGCACAGTTTTGCTTTTTTGGAGGCGTTTTTCTTTACAGATGTTATTCATTTAGTAATTATTACTTATTATTAACTAATAGCATTATTACTTAATGCTAAGTTATAGCATTAAGTAATAAGGCACTACTTTTTGATTGGTCAAGGAATCTAACCTGGCTTTTAAGGGAAGTATTATCCAATAAATACTGTACAAATGACAGTATCTAATTAATAAAGGGAAATATAACAAAGTAGCTCTGTAGTAGAGAATAGGATAAATCAGAGATTGAATGTGCAGGAAACTCTTATTAAAATGAGTTCTTATAGGATGTGTCAACATTAACCAATAATATAAAGTCAATTTTTTAATATTTGAATATCTATTTATGCTTATAAACTGATATTTTGGAGGAATACATTTTTATTTTTATTAAAAGAAATGTTTGTTTGATTGTCAACTTTTTGATAATAATGTGCTTTTAACACCTTCATACATACATTACTTTGGCTGAGGGTCAGTAGATCAGTCTTCACTCGTCTTTATTTTATTTGTATGCTTTTCAGGGAAGTGAACGTCCACTGTGGAATCCTGAACAATCACAACCTGATTCGGGATTCACATCCAGCTTCAGAATCTGGCCTCTGACTGACCAAGAAGAACTGAAAAGACAGGTAGGAATCAGAAGCATGCACAAACCTTTGGCTTTACTGGTTTGATGTCAGACGTCACAGACAGCGTGTTTGTCTCTGCAGCGCCAGTCTCAGTTCCTGATGCACCGCCGCCTGGCCATGAACATCGAGAGAGAGCAAGTGAAGGAGAACAAGCAGCACAGGAAGCACCTGAAACAGACAGCAAGGTGAAGAGAGGACAGGCATACCATGCTGTATCGCTTCCTCTTGTGGTTTGGGGTGTTCCATTAAAGTGAATCTAAATCCTGAGATCTCTCTATAAAGTGTCAAACAGCAGATCTCTCTAACATGACACATTTTCACAGTAGAGGAAATAAAAACATTTGTTTTCTTAGCTGAACAGTGAGCTTGCTTGGAATACAATAGATATCCAAAGTCATTAAAAAAAAACCCTCCTTTAAACTTAAATTACATGTTATTGTCAGTGAAAATCTCCTTTCGTGTGTTCCTGTCTTCACTGAAGGATCAAAGCAGAGAAAGAACAGATGCGTCTGGAGGAGGAGAGGAAGCTGGAGAGAGTTCAACAGCTCGCAGAGGCCAAGCAGAAGCTGGAGGAGAGGGAGCTGCTCATTCTGGAGCGACTAAAGCTTGAGGAGGAGGAGAGAGCTGTGGAGTTACAGAGGAGGAAAAGAGAGGAGAAAGGCAAAGTAGCTGCTAGGTAATTAAGCAAGAGAGACTCAACTGAATATACCTAATGCAATTAAAACAGGAAAATCCACTGATGTTTAAATGTGGAAGTCTGTTTGCAGTCATTGGAGAGTGCTACTTGATTTTTATTTAAGGCTAGATTTTGAAGGCTTTTGTAGCCTCCAATAGGATAACAGATGTAAACCTGCTGCAAACCTATTTGAGAGACGGGGGGTCTATAGGGTTAATTTTCATTTTCTGCCACTCATCTGGAGTCTCATATTATTTCTCCCAATCAGTGTTTTCTGCCTCTTCCTGGCTAGAGTCTGGTCCATTTCCAGGTCCAGTGAGATGTGGTGTATAATCAATCAAGACATTTTTGTATATTGACAAGTGATCAGTAGGGGAAGGGGAGAATGTGAAGTCATCTCTATGGGGTGAAGAGTTAAATTTTACTTTCTAATTGTTTTTGTGTTGTTAGAAATAAAATGATCTTGACTGTAGCTGTGACTTCAGTAATAAATATATAATAAAATTGATCACATTTTAAGTCCCAGTTACACAAATGGGAAAAGGGATACCCCCTGTTTGTAAGTATGACCCTCACAAACCACTGTTTAAAAAAATGTATGCATGGCTTTGTGAAGCTGAACCTCTCCTTATTATTTCTGCAGGTTCATTGAAGCTCTGAGAGCTCAAATGAAGGAGCGAATGTCTCAGGTGAAACTGGAGCTCCCTCCTCTCTGCTGCTGTGCGTCCTCGTTCTGGGACTCCCACCCCGACACCTGCGCTAACAACTGTGTTTTCTACAATAATCCCAAAGGTGAGGAATTCACACGCAACCATCTGCTTGCTTACTGAGCTTCAATCCAACTACATGAAAACATTTTTTTGTTCTGCAGTGTATGCCCAGGCCCTACATTCAGCATTGGCGAGTTTGGATTTGCAGTAAAAGGAAGCTGATGTCTGCCTGAAGGTCCGGTCTCAGATTTTGGAAAATCTTGTGTACGTTTTCTAGCCTACGTTCAGATCAGTGCTCTCGCTTAGCACTGAGGAGTCCAGGACATGTTGAGCCTCTACAATAGAAGAGATTTATATGTTTCAGTTTATTGTTGTCTTCCAGAAATAAAATCATACGTTTCACGTAGCTCTAAGGAGGGAATCCAGAATGATGCTTTTACTCTGAAATATCTCAATGTTTTAAAGATGATTTGGTGCACAGATTGTTTTCTAAATGAGCAATAACAAACATGATGTTTCTCTTTGCCTTTGACTCCTGTCTTTGCCTGTTGCGTTATTATCGGATCATCTTCACTTTCCCCAGATCTTTGATTTTAATACTTGGAAAACTGATCATGTTTTCACTGAACAGTCAGATTCCTATATTTATTCTGCTGGTTGTGAAGAATGACATGGAGTATAAAATTTCCTTTTGAACTCTTTTCCTTTGTTTAATTATTGCTTATTAAAGCCGACAGAAATTTGCTTTGATTTATTTATTGGTAATGAAGGAATTTGTGCAGTGTCTTACTCTGTGTGTGTAGTTTTAATGACGGTAGTTAATGTGCTGAGTAAGCAACTAAACTTGAAAATGTCCTTGTGAGGATTTGCTGTTTGTTGTGTGGGTCAAGAGTCACGTTGACCTGTTTTAGGACTCCATTTAACAAATAACACTTCTGTTATGTTTGTTTTTTTTTAATAAATGTCACTTTCTGTGGTAAATACAAATTGTGAAATGGTGTGGTCTGCTTTTAAAAATTGTATTCCTTTTTATGATTTTTGTGACTGATGCACATTTATATGTTTTAAAATGGTGATAGTTATTTACACTTTTATTATTTTTAACATCAGCTCCAGTTATTTTTGTTACATTGTAGTTACATAGTTGTGTAGCTCATTCACTGGCAAAAAATCAGACTCACTGGCCCTTTTGTTAGGTCACCCATTCAGTTGCTTGTTACATCCTTTAATTTTCCAATCACATGGCAGCAGCTCAATGTATTTGGGCTTGTAGACATGGTCAGAACAACCTGCTTAAGTTCAAATTGAGGACCAGAATGGGGAAGAAAGGTGATTTAAGTGACTTAACATGGCATGGTTGCTGATGCCTGACTGGCTGAACTTTATATTTTAGAAACTGCTGATCTGCTAGGATATTCCCTCACAATCTCAGGAAATTACAACAAAACAGGCAAACCAAAAATGATCGATAGAAGATTGGAAAAGTGTTGCCCATAAGGTCCCGTTAGGCTTTAACATGTTTTTCATTAGTACGGACTCGGATCACCTTCGCCACGACTGGACTGATTTTCCTTATTACAATGGAGTAACTTCCAATGTGTTGGGTAGTTGTCATAGCAACGCGTCCGAGCGTCCCGCGACGTAATTAGTATGCGACACGAACGCTGGACGTCCAGGGAAGAATATACCAGCGCTCGGTCTGTGTCATCAGACTCAGAGGACCACGGCAATTTTTTTGTAACCATTTCCCTCTGCTCGCCCGGGGTTCCAGATGCAAGGTGCAAATAATTAAATGAATGTACATTTTAGATTTAAATGAGGAGATGCTGAGCTGGGCAACACATTGCATATCATAGTTTACTGATTTACTCATTAACTGTTTGCTGACGATTAAATTATAAGATTAAAAACAGGACTGATTTTCATCTTGTGAACCGATTGGAATAAGAAGCGAAACTTGAATATTTTACGCCTCTTTTTAAATAATTTGATCAATACTTTTAGTTTTTAATGTCCAACTTTAAACTAATTTAAATTAATAAAAAACTAATAATACAATGAATAAAATATTTAATAATAAAGGCTTTAATCAAGGCTATTTATTTCTTTAAAATAACTGCACTGGCATGTACCCAGAGGGGATACCTGCAGAGCACCCAGGTGGTCAGAAGGACTTTGATCTGAAGTGTAACATTTTAAAGAGCCTAACACGTGCTTTTCAGATACTTTTAATTCTGTTGCATTTTAACTTAAATTGAAAAACCTCCACTTTGAGCAGTCCCACCCACTGTCCAACCCCGTTTAGACAAAACAAGGGTCTTTGAATCGCCTGCGTTACGTCACGCATATGCGCATGCATAGGGGCTGGTGGACAGGCTGTCGCGGGGAGGCTGGAAAATCTTATGGAAAACCAAACCAACATTGGAGTATTAATAGCAGCGGTGTCTTACACTTGTATCACAGCGTTTAAGAGGCAGGCCGGCTCTTCTGACTGCGTACTTGAAGTATAAAAGCCGGTCATTATGGAGCATTGCTGGAGATTGACGGCGGGTACCTCCCAACAGGAGCTGCTTTATAGCTCCCGTAGCTACCCCATGTGAGCCTCTATTTTAGCAGGCACACATGTCTTTTTTTTAATTTGTGGTACTGCATAAGTTAGCCTCTGTTTTCATCCAGGGTTAGTCAGCTCTCTGCGTTTATTCATCTGTACCTGCTCAACATCCGTCTGCTTCCAAGAAGACATGTCCGGGACCCACTACTGAGAGTTTGTTTCTCACAATATTTAAAATAATTCAATGAAAATGAAGTCGTCTCTGGCTCCTGGGATAAGACTTATCACCAACTTTTCTCGGGATAGTTGGTAAGTTTCCATTCTTTTTGTCCTCTTGGCGCACACGCAGCCCTGTAATGGAGATTGCTGCTTTCTTATCTCTGCTAAATGATTGATATCTCTGTTAGATGATTGACTCAAACTAGTCGATAAACCGTCAGAATGTGAACTGTTCTGGGACCAGTAAATCCAGAGACATTATCATGTAACCAGCTATTGTTTTAAATGTCTCAGTTCCTGTTATAAACGTATTACTACTTCTTGTTTTCATCGGGTTTTCTGTACCCGGGTGTTGTGCCAAAAAGTGATTGTCTGCCAAAAAGTGATTTCCGGTATTTGCCAAAAACTGATTGCTCGTATTTAAACTGCTATAAGTAACTTGTTGGGCTATAATATGTGAAACATATGTCAAATGCATCCCTCATGGATGACATAAAGTCATCTTGAGCCACAAACAACATTCGTGTAACAAGGTAGAAGCCGCAATCAGTTTTTGGCAGTGACTTTTATATAACCTTTATTTATGCAGTTAAAAAATCTCATTAACATTAAAAATGTCTTTTGTAAGAGTAAGTTGGCCAAGAGGACAGCAGACATGGCAGCAAATATTACAATATTTCTGTAAAAATATTTTAAGTGGGGATAAAGGACCGGATTGGTTATAATGTAAGTACAATAGCAGAGAGTTGTAAAGATACTTGAAAAACAGATATTGTTTTAATTCTCTATTTGTAAACCCTATTCACCGAAGTCTATTTACGAACATACGTAAAGATATTACACATAAAAAATACACAGAAACATTGGAAATCACTTTTTGGCAGACAATCACTTTTTGGGACAACACCGGCACGTCTGGTTTCCCCTGTGCGAATCTAGAATCCCACCAAACTCCACTAAAAAAATTGACATTTTAAGAGGTGGCCGGCCACAGTTTCCAGTGTCGACCACTGGATTATTTTGCAATAACCGAAAACTGTCGAAAGGGATTTATACCTCCAGATTTTTCAGCAAATAAAGTGTCAGTAAAGTGCCATTCCATTATATTTCCTGCTTTTCTAAATCTGACTGAATATAGAAAATACAAATTTTTCTTAAGACAACTCAGGCTCCTCAGGTATGTTTTGTAAATGCAGGTAACCAGTTTTTGCTGGTTACCAAACTGGAAAACTGCAAGCCACCAAAAAGTTACAAATTGCACAGATTTTATGGAATACCATGAAAAAACTAAAAAAGGAACTGCGGCTGCAGTAAAGACTGAAACTAACTGGGTGAATCTTGAAGAGAGTTTTCATCAGTGAGTCTCATGAGGATTGTGTAGCTCAGAATGAGTCGGACCAGTCTGATAGATGGATTCCCACCAAAAGAAAAGCCAGCAACTGGAAAAAAACCATCTTTAAATTCTTAAAATGTTTGAGGAAAGGAGAGTACACGAGAGTAGGAAGAGTATCATGTGACTCAACTTCAGTTTCCCTTTATTTCAGTTTCATATACTTTGAGAAGGTCACATTGAAATTATTAAAGCAAATGATTGAATTATTGACCCACATTGTGCTGGACAAACAAAATGTTTGTCTCACACTCAGTTTGTTATTAACAAAGGATGTGTCCTTAACTCCTCCCGCCATATCTGCTTGGAACACTCTTGCAGTGGTTTGCCATGATAATAACGCCGGAATATGAAAACCATTCAATGACCTGAATGTACAGCATAGTATAAATTTCTCCAAAAACAAAGATCAAACTAAATAATCAAATGATGATAATAAGACAAAACCGAATGTTTCATAAACAATGATGATGATAGTTAGTGTTTATGTTTGTTTACCACCTTCTGAAAGCATTTTTTATGCACAGTCTTCACCATAAAGTTGATCAATTCAGACAAATGTGCGTCTTATTTGTGTTTGTCCTGATTCCTGATTCTTTAAACACACCTTCGTACTGTATCTCTCAAATTCCAAACAATTTAGGTGAAATCACTGGACTAAAAGAACTTTAGGTTCACATTCTTTTTGAAAAGATAAACAGACAGATAAACTTTCAAGGGTCATAAACCAAATAAAAGTAGGCTTTGAATTATTTAACACTCTTGCATCTCAAATTAACACCTTACACTCCAAGTATAATGTGAGCACTGAGAATACTTTTTCCACCTATTAACTTGTGTTGTTTAGCCAGCATGAAAACAGCTGATCTGTGAGTTTGTTACCCAAACAAATATTTCTACGTCAGTGGAAAGTTTTACTGTTTTGTGTCATGTGTTTGTGCTGGAGGCATTTTAATTGATGTCACTGCATGATTAATAAGCATACCTTAGTTATTCTCTTTGTAGGTTTATTTTTATTATTCTGTTTTGATATTTTGAATAATAAAGATAATTTGATTGTCATTTTTAAATGATTTTGGTTCTAATGTGTCTGTTTTTGCAGGTATCGTGGTTTTATTCTCATCCTCACCTTCCTGTTCTACACAGCCTATCACTTGTCACGGAAACCTATCAGCATCGTTAAGGTGACTGGAACAGTTGAATTTCTTTTTATGAACACTATTAACAGTGTTTTTGCAGGATCAAATGCTCTCCAGAAGGACAGAACATGTCTCTCTTATCTTGTACTTTTTACCCTCAAAAATGGATAAAATCTTTACCTTAACACTGCTCACTCAGGCCATTTGTTATCTCCTTACAGATATATTGATTAAATCTAATTTCTAACATTCAATCTTTAGCTTGTCACAAGATCAGGGAGACAACAGAAGATAAGCTCTTTTAAGAAAATAACTTTATCTACATATAACTCAGACACAGCCACAATTAAAGGTATTCGTGTCTTTACAAATTCATAGAAATTAACAGCCGAAGCACAAAAGCTGGTAGAAAAGCAAACGGCTCTAAAGGACGTCTGCTGAATATGCTAAAGGGATTTTCTTAAACATCTATCATGTGATACTCAGGTGAAAGGATTACCATTGCCTGTTTTGCCTGTAAGTCCTGTTGAACTGGAACGTAAAGCTAACGGCTAATTTCCTGTACCATATATGTCTTCTTTCATGAGCTGTTGTTTCAATCAAAGATAGTCAAGCAACAATTGAAAGTGTTTGCATGACACAGAAATGGTCTACAAATGAAGGCTTTTAAAGTCAAATGCTGTAAAAGCCCCTCATTGTTTAAATACAAAGTATTCATGAAGTGGTCATAAAACAATCATAGGCTGTGATCCTTTCACCCTGAGAGCTGCAGTGTGTTGTTTGTGGTAATAGTGGTATCCTGGCATATTCTTATACTGTATCTTTATACATTTATACACCTATAGAGGATAATTTTTTTTAAATCTTTGGCTCTTCATTTGCTTGTGTCAACTACTGTTTTAGTCATTTCAATTGGTTTCTTTCCACGTTCTTCTCTCGCACTCAGAGTGAACTGCACAGAAACTGCTCCAACGTCATTCAGCCAAAAGACATTAATATAACCAATAATGTTACCTGGTGTGATTGGCCACCCTTTGGTAAGTCCTTTAATTGCTGTCATTAATGCTCACTTTGGAAACACAACTTCTAGTAGATGAGATTTTGGACAATTGCAGCTCTCAGAAAGTTTCAGTGTACCAAATTATTACTACACATGATTTATCAGTTGGTTAGGTGTTTGCAGTGGAAAAAGTGGCGTATGCATGGATAGGAGGAGCTGCTGTGGTGAAGCAGCTTCTTGAAGCTCTGAAACTCAAAAAAAAACAAGGAAAAGGGAGACTTTGTTTGTCGTCTGTAGTACCCCAGAAATTCCAAGTATGTTGATGCATGATTACCTACTGCGAAGGACATGCTGTACACTGATAACTAAATAGTTTGTAGTGTGGGTGTAGATTTTCTCTGAGACTGGAGGCCACATTATAGAGGTGTTCAAGTAAATTTTACACCTTTGCTAGATCATTTTATGATGAAAACTTTAAAATCAGCCACTATGAGATACTATAAAATGAACTGGTGGTTTTGCTCTGGTTTTATATTTGTGTTTTTATATTTTTTTTATATTAGAGTTTTTGGTTAAAGTCCACCAGCTGCTGTTGACTCATGTATAGTTGTCTTTACTTGTTGGCATTAGTATTATAGGTCATTTAAACCACATACACAGCTACACTGTGGCCAGAAGTTGAGGTTAATAGATGAAATCTGCAGTACCTGGAACTTTTTGGGGAAAAGTCTGGTGGAGAGTTAAGCTTAGTGCTCTAAATCCATAGAGGCTGCACTGTCGTGGCCAAGGTTGTTGTTTGTGTTTGTGCTTGTGAGCTGCTGTGAAACTGAGCTGATCATGTGAGACCTGCTGCTGATAAATATTTAACTTTTAGTTAATGTTACAGAAACGCAGAAAAGAGATAAGTGTTTGAAGCTGCACTGGAAGAATACTGGCTATAAGATAGATACAATTACATCTTCTACAACAGAGAATTACCACCAGTTGCACTTGTCATAGTTCCTGTGCTCTGTGGTTACTTTTCTGGCAAGTTTGAAAGCAACTAAATTACAGGGATTATATTAAAAGGGTCCTACTATCATTCCTTCCTCTTTGTCAAGCAACTTTAAGTCTGGGGTTAAGTTTTCAGCTTGAATCTAGTCCAGCTGTGATCGTGTGAGAGCCTGTAATAGGTTAATAGTCCATCATATGGTCAGACCAGAGAGCCAGACAACTCTGTGTTCACAGACGTCCCACCCATCAGTTCATTCAAAACATGTTTTTTGCAAATAAACCAATCAGAAGAAAGTTGACAAAAAGGGGGCCGCTAAAGATAGAAGAGCTATTAATAATATTAATTAGGCATATATTATGATGTTGTTTAGCAACAACCTAACAACAGACTAGGTTCACTGACCAAACAACATTGTAGCATAGGGATGTGGTAGTAAGATAAACAAGAATTATTTTATTGATGACAGGAATACAATGAGGAGCTGGGAATGAGATTAACAGGTCCAGAACTCTGCTGAAGTTTTTTGTGTGTGTGAGCCGTACTAATTGACGAAGACCTCACAAAATTATACGCGCCGATGCGGAGAAAAGTAACAGTTTTCTCTGTTTTCTTGTTAAAGACCAGGACAACTATCAGACACTGTTTGGGGTCTTGGATAACTGCTTTCTGGTTGCTTATGCCATCGGGATGTTTTTCAGGTTTGTATTTGCTGTTTTTGGCTGACCTTGTTGTGTTTTTGTCTGAGAGGGCATGTGCTGCACTGAATAATAATCATCTCTCATGTTCTCAGTGGGATATTTGGTGAGCGTCTCCCTCTGCGGTACTACCTGAGTGTTGGGATGTTGATGAGTGGGTTGTTCACATGTCTGTTTGGCCTCGGCTTCTACTGGAACATCCACTCACTGGGGTACTACGCCTTCGTCCAGGTAAAGAAACAAATCCACAAACCTTTAATTTACTTTCTGATTCATGTATCCTGTTCTGTTTCATTATTTCAATTGTGGGGCATATGACTGTGATATCATTTATAAATAAGAGCTGAAATGTGAGCTCATCAGCCACACATTAGCTGATTTAGGTTGCTAGCATGAAAGTGGTGGTTTCGTTAGCCACACGGTTGAGAAAGTAAATCGGTAAATGTCCTGTAATTGTTTTAATGTTAAAAATCCACTATTAGACAAAAACAGGGGAAGAGAGTGTAGAAACATTTTGACACTTTCTTGATTTAAAAAATTAAAGGAGTGAGTTTGACTTTTTGCTCTCACCTGACTGAGCAGTTAAAACACTGAGCCTGCCCTGACTGAACTAAACTGAAATTATAGACTCTCTTTGAAGCTGATTAATCTAACACTTGGACACAAATGAAAAGCAAAGTGCGGTTTTACACGATTTAACTTCATCTTTACTGAACAGCAGCCAGCTGCAGTGACCGTGGAGAACTTCCCTGGAGCTATCAGCTCTCAGTGCTCCTTCAGAGACACAAACCCAGATGGAGATGCTGCATAAATACACTGTGTTTACAGTTCAATTTGTGACATAAAGTAAAGTTTAGCTGTTGTATTAGTCTAAGAGAGAAAGTAGATTTGCATCCTTTTATCTTATGTTGCACAAGCCTTTTGTTTACATTTCTAAACGGATTGTCTTTGAATCTCTTTCTCTGCTGAGAATGAGGAAACTTTGATTTGCTATAAACAAAATTGTGTCCATTTCGGGAACAACTGCAGCATACAAAAAAAACTGCATTAGGTGGAAAAAATAAGGGAAGTGCAGTGATCAGATGAGCTGTCTCTTGCTGACCTCAGGTTTTACTGATCGCTGAGGTCTGTAGAAATGTTTTCTCTCACTCAGTGCCTCGTCTTAAACACAGGCGCTGTCAGAAAAGTGTTATTTCACTTCAGGGCTTTTTTCACGCCTTTTGACCACTAATAATAACACGCCAATAGGTTGGATTAGCTCAGAAACAAGTGAAAAAATTAGCTTCAGCCACAGCTTAGGCTAGTTGCCTTCCCATAAATTAGGGATGCCAGTAATGAGACTATTTATTCTGTTTTTTAAGTCTTTAAATTAAAACCTGAGCTTAAAAAAACCTGGAGATATTTGATTTATATATATATAAAAAGCAGAAAAGCTGCACACCCTTATCTTTGTCATGAGTTTGTCCGCCTATAAATGCAGGAAAATATTTATTTATTTAATTTTTCTGACCTTTGTGCAGTTGCCAAATTGCAGTATTGTTTTACACCTCTCAAGTATCACATGAGCTTCACACGTGTCACATGACCAGCAGTCAAATTCCATCAGCACTTCTCAGGAAAGCATGGAAAGTTAATCAATAAATAAAGTTAAAATTAATAAAGTTAATTTTTAATAAAAATAGGATCCATTCAATAAATGGACAATGAGTTTATTTTAAGGTCTTTACCTCAAAATTGAATTGAATTGAGTTTGTAAGAAAAAAAAAGGTGTCTATGGCAATAGAGAAATTGAAATCTGTGACCGGAAGTATTTAAAAAAACTGGGTCAACAGTATTTATTTCATTTATGATCCTGTTTATTTTAACCTGTTAACATGTGCACTTTAGGTATGGATATTGAGCATCTCTTACAGGCAGGTCAGTGCAGAGCTCTCTTAGCAGCTTTTCCACTTGAACGTGCACAGAGCACATGGTGGCTTAGTCACTCTTAGATCTCACTTATCACATGACTCGCAGCTGCATCACATGACTGCACATGCAGAGCTTTGCTTATATCAGTTTGGTGTAGGAATGTTGAGAATCTATGTTCGTTGATCTCTTCTTCTTTTCCTCTTCATGCAGAGTTTACAGGGTTTCACGAAGAACGTTAACACAGTCCAGGTTCTTTTTCTGTTTCATTCTGCAGGTCATGAACGGGCTGGTGCAGACCACCGGTTGGCCAGCAGTGGTGGCTTGTGTTGGCAACTGGTTTGGAAAGGGGAAGTAAGTAGTGGGGGAGAATTCATGCTGAATGTGCATTAGAAATTGCTTTTTTCCCTTCTTTTTTCTTTCTTTTTTTGATGGCAGCAGAATGAAACACAAGCACATTGTCAAACCAGGCTTGGTTGTAGGTCAGACGACACTCACATCATAAATTAAAGTTATGAGCCTGAACAACTGGTTCTCACTGAAGTAGAACTACAAGCACAGCAAGCAGACAGACATTTTAAGAATATATAATTGGCTCTAAAAATACACTAAAGAAAGGGGCAGGGAACAGAAAAAAGAACAATATTTATAGTAACAGTCACATGTCTGTCAGTGTTTTCACTGCTGCTATTGATTATGTCCACCTCAGCCAGTCAAAGAAGTTAGGTTACACTAAAAAGAAGATTGCATGTGTACATAGGTGATGAGTATTGACAAGATCTAATTGACTGCCATTATCAGTTCCGCTTTTAGGTTGGATTCTCGAGCAGTTCCCTTATTAACTCCTCATCAATTCTGAGTGCAAAACTATTGATATCTTTGAGTCTGAACACGGTGTCCAGTTCAAAATAAGCCTTTATGTGACTTAGGTGTGCAAAAGCTGTCATAAGTTTGCTGGAGTCTTTGTGTTAGGGGAATTGCTGTAAACCTGCCTTTACCTGACATATGTAATCATATGTCAGGTGCAACATATTTATATGATAAAGAAAAGCATCAGGAGTAAATATGAGGCACTTACATATGAAATTTTAACTTCAACAGATAACAGGACTGTTCTCTTTTTCATTCATCTCCATAATTTTGCTTGTCACTGCTTTGATCTTTGCTCATACTGAGGCTCCCGGCTTGTGGCTGGCTGAACTGTGGATAGCTTTAGCTTGAGACATTTTTCCCATGTAACGTGGCTACATGCTACAGGTTGACTACAAACTATTTAACAATATAAACCTGGATATTTATGGACATAAAAAACAAAAACATCTGTTATCAGTTTCTGGCAGATGACTGCTTTTTAACACAAAACTGATCCCTAACCTGTCACTCAACTCAAATACGAGGATTTTGACAGAGTAAACTTGTCGAAAAATCACCATATTTGAGAATTGAAACTCATCATTTTACTGTCATTGTATTAATTTCTCAATGACTCCCCTCAGCTTACAAGTAGAGGCACCTCTGCAGCTTTGTATCGACCATAATGATTTTTTTACTCCAAAGAAAATCTCAATATGAAGTTTCAGGCAGACATGTCAGTTGGAACTAATTTAGCAGATTGACAGATCTGGAGTGGAGAGATAACCTGTGTGAACCGCTGCATCTGGAAGTCCTGCACAGGCGGTGCATGAGAATGACATACATCATGTTTCAGAACTGGATATTGAATACTCTAGCACAAAAATCCTGCAAAGTTCACCAAATGTCAATTTCACCAGGTTTTTTCTGGCCATATCAACAAACATTTTAAGTTTTTTTTTTTTTTACCTTAATCAAAACGTGAGAGAAAATGGACATCATGCTTATTAGTCAGTTAAACAATCAGCTTGTTCATTCATATGTACATTTGTAATCTGGCTAAGCCTGTTTTCCTGCCTCCCAGTGGTCATGCTAAGATATGTTAACCATTGTCTGGGTCCTGCAAATCTCTTGTGCTCCTGGATTCAGAGTATCAGCGAGCACAAGAAATGATTGTGAATCATCACAGCACACACGCTCTCTCAGATAAAAAGGCAACAAGGTCAACCAAAAAAAAGCACACACAAACCTGGAAAACACCCTGATGGCTTTATCCAAGACCCTGCACAGTGTCTGATAGTTCTAGAGAAACAGGAAACAGATAAAACTCTTTCTTTTCTCCCTTTTTAATTTCATAACGTTTATAAATGTGTGTTTTTACTGGCCTTCCACTCACAAAAGCGGTGACAGCTGACACACACATGACAGTTTTAGGCCTTAATTTGTGGCTCGCAGACATTACTTATACATTTGCCACATTGTTTACATGTATAACAGAAGCAAAGCATAGTAGGCCCCATTTAAACCCCAGTAGTGATCTCTGTTTTAATGCACCAGAGCCCTAATTAAGTTCTTGCCTACTTTTTACTTCTCCAAATGTCTTCAGTGCATAAAACAACATAAAGGCATGCTGACAAGCTTCAAGACTCCAGCTCAGCATTCATGAATCCATTTTGTAAAACTGACTTTCAGCAGGAGAACTTCTCGTGACCTTCTCTGTTTTGATTGCCAGGCGTGGCTTCATCATGGGTGTGTGGAACTCCCACACCTCAGTGGGAAACATCCTGGGCTCCCTCATTGCGGGAGTCTTCGTCTCCACGGCCTGGGGATTATCCTTCATCGTCCCCGGAATCATCATCGCCTGCACTGGGGTCCTGTGCTTCTTCTTCCTGGTTGAGAGTGAGTTTTCGTTTGTCAGACAAAATCCAAAATACTTCCCCAAAGTGAGCTTTAAGAATTAATGTCTCCCATCCCATTTCGTCCGTTCTCTTTTCAGAACCTGAAGACGTGAACTGCTCATCTCCTCAGCATCATGTAAGTTACAAAAGCAACGCATCCTTTCCCCTCTTTCCATGAAAAAGTCTGCTTGAGCTGTTTATTTGTGTGTCAGAGTGGTCAGGAGAGGAGTCAGGAGGGTGGTGAGACGGCGCCTCTCTTGCGGGACTCAGCCATTGTTGATCCATCCATCAATGGAGCCGTCTCCACTGAGCCAGACGTGATTGTTGAGGAGCACAGCGAGGCCATCAGCTTCTTTGGAGCGCTGCGCATACCTGTGAGTGGAAATGGCACCTTTAATCACAGAAATGTGATTGATTGGCTTTGAATGTGCAGATATTTGTGCCATATTTTACAGTAAAATTTTCCCATCACGCTGAGTTTAACTCAAGGGTTGAAAATTGCTAACTTTGGCACCACCTAGTGGCTAATTAAAAATATCACTCCAAACAAACGTTATAAAAACTATTTTAAAGTTTCTTTAACAATGAAAAATATTCACAAATTGTTTTTATATTTATATTATTAAAGTTGAGGTTGTCAGACTGTTTTTGTCACAGCTGTCTGTCTTAACTGGTCACTTAAATGAAAAGGAGCCGTTATTAATGTTGTTAACGAGACTTTTGTTTCTTCGAAAGTCACAAACCCACGCGGCTCCTGTGAAAACGGCTCTGTGTGTTTATCCTGTTAAAGATGGGAGGGACAGTGACTGGTCGTTTAATCTCATTGTTATGTTTACTTTGCTGATAATGAGACTGTTGCCTAGTAACAAATAAGACACATTTGACACAACAATTAGAGACCAATTCATGCGTCACTTATTATCACCTTTACTTCACTCACTTTGACTTGATCACTCCCGTGATGATGATTGTTTTTGCTGTTAAGCGATTATCTCTTCTTTTCTTTTTCTTTTTTTTTTTTACTCCAACCAATCAGCAGCGAGCAACTTATCCGCCAGACAGCACGGAGAGCGCTGCAGAAGTCGCCTGGGGGCACTTAACGCTTTTTCATTTTTTTTTCTTCAACTGTCAAAGAAACAGTTGATTTTTCCAGTCAGTGTTTATTATGACTTTAGGAAGAACCTTATGAGAAACAATTACTTTCCCATAAATATGCCTGTCACAAAGACCCGCCTTCCTGGAGGTTTCTGCTGGAAACAGCAATGATTCTGTTGGAATAACGTTAAATGTGAATCAAAGATAATGATTAGGAATTTACGTGAGTATATGTTAGGAAAAATAAGACAAAATAAGAGTTATAAAGTTGCAGTTTAACTACAACTCTATAAATTTAGCCAGTGCAAATAGTCCTGATCAAAAACGAGTTATAACTCTTTTCCACTCTTCAGTATGCCTGGTTAACAAACACTACCAGTGGGTTTTATTATTATTGATAACATGGTGAATTTCTGCTGTTTGTTACTGTTAAACTGTTTCTATGAGTCACCTCTTTCTTTGTGATCAGCTATTCATCAGTGGTATGAAGACAGGTTTGCATGAACAGGTCCTGAGCAGTGAATGAGTTAAGCATAGATACATGGATACACATTAAATACATTATAGGTACCTGTGTTCATGTATATCTCCTAGGGAACTAGGAGAAACCATATGCAATCATATGTGCACTTAAAAAAAGGTTTTTTTTTTTTTAATCACCTCAAATTATTCTATGCATGGGGAAAGGCCCATGCAAGTGAGAAGGTCTAAGAAATTCAGAACCCATGAGGTGACTCACAGTCATTTCCCATTGACTTTGAATAAACTGGAATTAAGCGATGTCCTCACTGTGGGTTCATGAGAAAGAGTCAGAGCTGTTTTGAAAACCGTGCATGGATTTGACACGCAACTCTGCTCCTGTCATTGTATCAGAAGGGGAGGGTGTTTGATTTCCACCTGTGTTGCACTTCTCTGATGGCTAACGGTGAATTACAGGATGACAGACACTTTAAGTTGCTTCTGGGGTTTTTTCATGTTTTTTTTGTCTCTCAGGGCGTGGTGGAGTTCTCGCTCTGTCTGCTTTTCGCCAAACTGGTCAGCTACACCTTCCTCTACTGGCTTCCTCTCTACATCTCAAATGTTGGTCAGTATTTACACACATCATTTTACTATTAAGATAACCTAATGATCAGTTCATGTGATTTAAAGCAGTTTTTAGAGTTAATGCATTTGTTTTGTTTTTGTTTTTTAGCACATTTTGAGGCAAAAGAAGCAGGAGATATGTCGACATTATTTGATGTCGGAGGAATCTTGGGTAAGCTTTGAGTCTTGTTTGATTTGTAAAATCACTCAGTCAGTTCAGTTTTTGTCAGAAATAAAGATGCAGAACATGATGCAAAAATGCATCACTGCAGTGTGACTGTGTCACATACGGCTGTGTGACAGGCGGGATTTAGACCCAAATGCAGAAAATAAACTCAAGACTTTAGCTTTATTCCTGTAACCCTAAAGGAATGCTGAAAGTAAAAATGTTTGCACAATAGGAAACCAAAATATCAGAAATATCATGAAACACAGGAGAAGGCGGTGCAGAGCATTGAGGAACGACATGAGGAAGGGCAAAGGGAGAACTGGGGTTATAAATAAACACAAGATAATAAGGAAGATCAGAAACACCTGGGAACACAGCTGGTACAAATCTGGGATACAAGACTAGGAAAGGAAAACTGAATGTTAAACACATGAGACAAAGGTTACGAAAATAATACAGGAAAAAGCGAGACAGGGATACCTAACACAGAGACAGATGGTCAGATATGGTACAGGGAAACATGAGGGAGACCTGAAGACCAAACTCTGAGTACAAACAACAACAGCTGTAACGGGGGATAAATACAAGTGAAATATACAAAGGTGAAAACTATGCAGTAAGTAAAAATATAATAAATATATAATACATATATAGTTATATTAAACGAATTATAAACAATTATAAGTAGTGATATCTTAGTCTTCTGTAGAAACAAAGATCTTTAAAATTAAAACTAAAAACTTTTTTGAACACTTGTTTTTAATGAATTCTTAATATTAAAATCTCCCAATTTTATGCAGTCAAAATCTTAACTTTTAACCTTTAAATAACCTTGAATTAACCTTTAAATTTGTGCAGTTTTTACTATTCAAAGTATAATATATCGCATAATATCCATGCTCAGTGATAGCGATAGAACAAAAGGATTCTGAATTTAGGCAAGATTTCAGGTTGTGAGGTTTGAGTGGGTGGTGACGGTGAGGTAGATGTGAAGTTTTTCAGCTGTGAACATTTCATGCAGGTATCTCCTGCTCTTAAGCAGTTATGGGGGTTCAACAATTGTGGAAAAAATAAGACAAATTAAAAGGTTTCAAATTTTCAACCCGCCCGTATAGTTCAAGAGACTAACTCTGAAAATATTTGTGGGAAGAAGGAAAAACTTGACTGAACTGTCTTTGTGTCTGCAGGAGGCATCTTGGCGGGCCTTGTGTCTGACTACACTGGGGGGAGGGCGTCGACGTGCTGCGTCATGCTGGTTGTTGCTGCCCCCATGGTGAGTGTCACCTCTTACATTAGATTAATAATACGATTGTGGAGCAGTGAAAATGGACGGGGAGTGGGAGGGTGGCTGGTGTAAACTTGATTTTTAAAAATCCAAGAGGTCTACAACACTTTCATTTAAATAACTAACACTTGCCATGGTTAGAGGCTTCTGCATACAAGCCTTCATCATGGGTAAAAAACCTCAAATTTATTAAATGCATCTTGCTAGTATTGGGTTGGACCCTCTTTTACCTCTAGAACTGCATTAATTCTTCATGGCATCGATTGAACAAGGTGCTGGAAACACTCATCTGAGATTTAGGTCCATATTGAGACGACAGCCTCACACAGTTTCTGTAGGATGTGACTCTCCCGTTCCACCATATCCCAAAGGTGCTCGATTGGATTGAGATCTGGTCACTGTGGAGGCTATTTGAGCACAGTGAGCTCATTCTTATGTTCAAGAAACTGTTTGAAGTTGTTAAAAACAAGTGTAAAAAGTTCAAATAAGTTTTCAGAAAGTTCAAGTTTTT